GAAATCCTGCTGGCTGAGAGGTGCTCACCTGGAAGGAGGGCTGCCTGAAAAGGAGGGGGTGGGAGAGGTGGGAGGGGACAGGGTGGGGGAAGTTTGGAAGGAGGGTTAATGGTGGGTAATATAGAGGGAGGATTGCCTGGAGGGGAGACAAGGAGGGGGAAGGTGTGGAGGTGGCATAAGGAGGAGAAGGGAGAGCAATAGACGAAGAGTTAGTGCTCAGTGGTTGAGCGCAGACCTATGAACCAGAAGGTCATAGTTAGGTTCCCGGGTCGATCACCTGTGTGGAGCGTGGGGGAGGCAGCCGATCAGTAATTCTCTCTCCTTCTTCCTTCCTCTGGGGGAAGGTGTGGAGGTGGCATAAGGAGGAGAGGGGAGAGCAATAGACGAAGAGTTAGACATCCCCGGCCGGTGGTGTGGCTCAGTGGTTGAGCATACACCTATGGCCCTTCACTTCCTGGGTCGATCACCTGAGTGGAGCGTGCAGGAGGCAGCCGATCAGTAATTCTCTCTCCTTCTTCCTTCCTCTCTGAAATCAATAAAAATATATTTTAAAAACGAGTTAGAAATGGAGGAGAGATGGAAGGAATATGGAGGGGGAGAATGGATAGAGGAGTGAAGTATTTAGAGAAAAGCAAGTAATCTCGTGGCTTGTTTGATGCATTTTATATTAGGACTGAAGAAAACATATTAGCTAACAATGGATGGTGTATATGGTATTGGTGTTGTCATGACTAATCACAACTATTAAGGACAACGCAGTTAGCAGAGGTCTGGCCCATAGTATAAACCTGGCACACAGTATTTTCTATTTTAAATTGATGTGATGACTTCACACTGCATGTGCTCATTCTCTGGTTCCTCCATTTGTCACATTGCAGGGTGATTGGTCCTGGGGACATGGGTTTGGTGGCGACTGAGACACCCTAGGCCCTGCCCTTGGGGATTCACCATCCAGTGGGGAGATAATCCTGTGCCCAGGCAGTGATGGCCCAGAGTGGGCAGGACTGGGTGGGGGGAGTCCAGGAGGGTAGGGCAGCCTATAGGGAGCCTGGGGGTCAGGGAGGACCAGTCTTCTGAGCCGGTATTTTGTGGAAGAGCCACACTCGAGGGGCCAAAGAGCCTCATGTGGCTCGCGAGCCACGGTTTGCGAACCACTGGTGTAGCCGGATGACAATCTAAACAACTGAGCTATCCAGCCAGGGCTCCCAGCCAGTTTTTTACTCAAATTACTTCAGTAAATCTTTTCAGAGACGATAGTCTATAAACCTGAAATGTTAACATTTTACATTTATGGGAGAGCTTGTCTCTCACAGTCCCTGACTGCTCCTGTCCATCTTGGTCCACTTCCCTTCCTTACCTCACAAGCAAACAACCCATCGACCTCTCCCTCAGGCCCACACAGCACGCCATGCTGACCTGCGTTCCCGATTCTCTCTGGGCCTCCAACTCAACAGACGCAGGTGCATCTCGGAAGCCGAACCTCTTAAAGTGGAAAGAGATCTTTTTATGCTGCTCCTGAAACTTCCTTAGCGTGCTCTGACACCGGAGGCTCTAGGCTCCCACCCGTCATTCATGGCCTTCTCATACCTTCCTCCAGCCCCTGCAACACTCCCATCTTCTCCACCAAGGACCGCAACGTTACCATTGGGATATGGTTAGTCCAACCATAAACTGATAGTCAAACCCAGGTTCCCATGAGTGCCCGATCCAACACCAACCGGACCCCTACCTATACCTCCGACACCACCCACTTTACTGCATTAGCATCCCCCTGCTTTCTCTCACATCCGCTGCGTCTCCATTCACAGTCTG